AAGAGTCAGACACGACTGAGGGACTAACACACACACATAAAATAAATAAGCATGAGTCCATACTGATATGAATGAATAATTGAAAAAATAAATGGGAAAGAAGAAACAAATCTCTTGGGCAGAAGAATTCCAACTGACTTTGTACATATTGCACTCATATAAGTCCCCACTGCTTAAGTGTGGGTTGAACATACTGACTTCCAGAAGGAAAGTATAAAAAGGTGATGGGAGTGGGTGGGGGGATGAGTAACTCGGAAGTGAAGACACAAGGCTACAGTGATCAGTCCCATTCACAGTATGTACCCATGATATGACATCATGATGAAAATCATGATGAAAATGATACTACCTCTTTGTTCTTCCTCTCAAACCCATAGAACCTGGTATAATCATAAGAAAGACAAGTGTGTCCCAATAGAAGGACTGTACAAAATACCTGACCAGTACCCTGCAAAACTGTCAAGGCCATGAAAACAAAGTCTGAAAGATTGGTACCACCACGGAGCAGAGAACGATGAAGCAATTAAACGTCATGTGACATTCTGGAACAGAAAAGATGACTAGGTAGAAACTAAGGAAATCAGAAAAAAAAAAAACCTATGGATTTTAGCTAATAATTGTGTATCAATATTGGTTCATGAACTGTAACAAATGTACCATACTAACGTAAGATGTTAATAGTGAAAACTGGGTATGGAATACAAAGGAATTTTCTGTATTATCTTTGTGGTTATTCTGTAGATCTAAAGTTGTTCTAATAAAGTTTATTAAAACTTTTCAGCTTTGATCTTTGAGCCAAATGTTCTGCTGATTGAACTGTTTTAACAAGTTTTATATTTCAGGATAGGGCTTCCCTGGTGGCTCCCCAGTAAAGAATCCTCCTGCTAACACAGGAGATGTGGGTTTGATCCCTGGGTCGGGAAGATACCCTAGAGAAGGAAATGGCAACCCACTCTGGTGTTTGCCTGGGAAATCCCATGGACAGAGGAACCTGGAAGGCTATATAGTACACAAGGTTCCAAAGAGTTGGGTACAACTTAGCAACTAAACAGCAACAACATTTTTACGGACAGTTGTAGGTTTACAGGAAAACTGAGTAGGTAGTACAGAGTTCCCATATTATGACTGACCTCCAGTTTTCCCGATTATCAACATCTTGCATTAGTGTAGCAGTTTGTTACAATTAATGAACCAATATTGGTATGTTATTAACTGAAGTCCACAGTTTAAACTAAAGAGTTATTCTGTGTTGTACGGTTCTATGAGTTCTGACAAATGTATAATGTCATGCATGCACTATTACAGAATCATATAATCTCATTGCCCCCAAACTTCCTGTGGTTCACCTATTCATTCCTCCCTGCCCTCTCTCAGAGAAGACCCTGGTAACCATTGATTTTCTTACCGTCTGTATAGTTTTGCCTTTTTCGTAATGTCACATACTTGGAATCATATAGTAAGTAACTTTTTCAGATTGGCTTCTTTCGCTCAATAATATGCACTTAAGTTTCCTCCACGTCCTTTTGTGGCATAATAGCTCATTTCCTTTATCCCTGAATAACACTGCACTATATGGATATACTACAGTTTCCTTACCCATACACTGGGTTGTTTCCAATTTGGGGCAATTAGGAATAAAGCTGCTATAAACACCCACATGTAGATTTTTAAGTGGACATAAGTTATAAACTCATATTATTTAAAGGTATACTGTTAATTTTCAAATATTTGGGTATTTGGCAAGTATCTTTCTATTATTGATTATAGTTTAATTTCATTATGGTCTGAGACCATACTTCACATAAATTCTATTCTTTAAAATTTGTCCAGATGTGTTTTATGGCCCAGAATGTGGTCTCTCTCTTAGTAAATATTCCATGTGAGCTTGAGAAGAATGTGTATTCTGTTTTTGGATGGACCACATGAATTGACATAGATGTCCATTATATTCAGTTGGTTGATAGTGCTTTTCAATTTAACTATACATTCACTGATTTTCTGCCTATGGGATCTGTCAGTTACTGACAAAGGGGTGCTGAAGTCTCTAGCTATAATAATTATTATTTGCTCAGTTGTGTCTGATTCTTTGTTTCCCCATGGACTGCAGCCCACCAGGCTCCTCTGTCCATGGGGTTTCCTAGGCAAGAATATTGGAGTGGGTTGCCATTCTCTTCTCTAGGGTATCTTCCCGACCCAGGGTCTCCCGCATTGCAGACACCAGGGAAGCCCAACCATAATAATGGATATACTTAAATATAATTGTGGATTCATCTGTTTCTCCATGCAGTTGTTGGTTTTTGCCTCATGAATTTTTGACTCTCTGTTCATAACACATTAAAGACTGTTATTTTTTTTTCAAAGAACTGATCCAGTTATTGTTATATAATGCCCCTCTTTATCATAGTGTAAAGAATTGGTGTTATTTCTTCAAATATTCAACAAAATTCACCAGTGAAGCCATCTGACTTCTTCATGGGAAGATTTAAAAATTACTATTTCAATTTCTTGTTGAAGGCCTATTCATATTTCTATTTCTTCTTGAGTCAGTTTTGTTACTTTGTCTTTCTAGAAATTTATCCATTTAATCTAAGTTGTCTAACTTGTTGGCATGAAGTTGTTTATACTGCCTGTTAAAAATTCTTTTAATTGCTATACCCTTTTTCTTTCTTGATACTGGCAATCTGTATCTTCTCTCTTAATTTTTTGGTCAGCCTACCTAAAAGGCTATCAAGTTTGTTAATCTTTTCAAAGAACCAATGTGTGGTTTCATTGACTTATTGCTTTTTATTTCATTGATATCTTCTCTAATCTTAATTCTTTCTTTCCTCCTGGTTGCTTTGGATTTACTTTGCTTTTTGTAAGTTTCTTAAGGAGGAATTTTAGGTTATTAATTTGAGAACTTCTTTCCTCTTTTCTGATATAGGTGTTTATAGCTATAAATTTCACTCAAAGAACTACTTAAGCTGCATTCCACACATTTTGATATTTTGTATTTCATTTTCATTCATTTAAAAATATTTTAGGGATGTCCCTGGCAGTGTTTAAGACTTCACCTTCCAATGCAGGGGTTGCAGGTTCAATCCCTGGTTGAGGAACTAAGATTCTGCATGCCTCACAGCCAAAAAAACCAAAACACAGAACAGAGGCCATATTGTAACAAATTCAATAAAGACTTACAAAAATTATCTTAAAAATTGATACATTAAAATGGTGAACTTAATGCTCTTTAAAATTTTTAAAGAATTTCTCTTGTGGTGGGTTTCTTCTTTGACACATGGGCTTTTAGAGCATATTATTTAATTTCCAAATACTTTGGGGGTTTTTCAAAATTTTTTTCTACTGGAGATCTTAATTCCATGTTTCAGAGAACACATCTGGTATGGTTTCAATCTTTTAAATTTATTGAGACTTCTTTTAAGGCCCAGAATATATGGCATATTCAGTTGGAAGTATTTTTTTTAATTTAATTTTTACTTTTTTATTAAACATTTTTTATTGCAGTATAATTCACATAAAACTCACTCTTTTAAAGTGTAAAATTCACTGCTTTTTAGTATATTCACAAGATTGTATAACCATCACCACTATCCAATTCTAGAACATTTATATCACCACCCCCCATTAAGTCCATGCTCATTAGTAGTTATTCTCTTTCCCCCTTCCCCAAGCTCTAGGCACCTACAAATCTACTTTCTGTCTCCATGGTTTTGTCTTTTGGGTACATTTCATATAAATAGAACATATGTGGCCTTTTGTGTCTGGCTTCTTGCACTTAGCATAATGGTTTCAAGGTTCATCCACTCTGCAGCATATAATTCATTCCTTTTTAGATGGAATGATATTTCACTATGTGGATAATATCACATTTTATTTATCTAGTCATTAGCTGATAGGCATTTATATTGTTTCTACTTTTTGATTACTATGAATACTGTTGCTATGAACATTTGTATACAAGTTTTTGTGTGGTATACATTTTTAAGAAGTATATAATCTTTAGGCTATGAGCTAAATAACAGTACTCAGGAAACTGGAGGCAGGAGTAGTGTGTGTGTGTGTGTATGTGTAGGGAATCTTATGTTTACGTGTCTGTCTTTCTGTGTGTGGGACCTAGACATTTACAAATAGTCTTTGGGTTTAAGAAGAGGCCAGAAGGGCTGAGTGGACTCTTAATATCTTAGCTCTACCACACAAGCTTCAACTCTCCCCGGCTACATGCCTCACCTTCTATTCTGAACCACAGAGTAAGTGAGCTCAGCAGGGTGGGAAATGAGCCATGACATTCATGCCCAGAGAAGCCAATGCACTTATGCACAAACAATGTATATTCCTCTTACGCTTTTGGAATAAAAGGAAAAGTGATATGTATCATTTTATGATGCAAGAAACAGGCAACAGGAAAAATCCTGCTCTTAAGTCAGGGGGGAAAAAATCATCCATCAATCAATGGAAGTGATGATACCCAAATATTACTTTGGTTAGAAAAATAATCCCACATGGACTCCCACTTTTCTCTCCTTTGGATCCTAAACCTTTCATCACTAGACTGTAGTGCATCTATAGAGAAGAGCATGTGGTGTGCCAGACAGCTGTTTAGCCTTGTCCTCTGGTTTTCTTCCTAGTCATCCATCCAGTGTGGGTCTCCCTCTGAGGCTACGATTTCCATAGCCTATCACTTGACCCTGGGATGGTTGTGAGAATTCTTCCACTGCCATCTTTATTCTAAAAAATGAAGCTGAATACTCTTTGTTACCAAACAAGGCAGATCTAGACTGGTTTTTTTGCAACTTTGTTTTATCATTCTGGATAAAGGTAGCAAGGTGAGTTGGAAATAAGTGTAGGAAACCAAAGGGTAAATAATATTCTCCAGGAAAACGGGAAATCTGATGCAGAGGCAGAGATAGAGACACAGTACCTGACTAAAGGTTGGCCCGATCGGGCCCAATAACACTGCATGTGACATATCCAGGTATACTGTTATAAGACAAGAGATTCTGTACCTGCTTGTTGAAATGTCCTCAAAAGGGTAGAGGATCTCTCCATTGTTACAGATTTCACAGATGAACCCCTTCTGGCTACAAAGACTGCAGCTGTACACGTGGGAGGTGGCAAATTTAATGACCTTGCCCAAGAATGGAGCCAGCTTTCCCTCTATTACCTGCAGAGAGAGAAACAGAACAGGGAAGAAAGCAAATTTGTTGAGAACAAAAAAGTCTTGTAGATGCAGGACTGGAATTCCTTTCCTTAACACAACAGGAAAACCTCTAATTATAATTTCTCAGCAACTCTGAGAAAGGAAAGACATAGTATTTTCGCTCCAAAAGAACCCTCTGGCTTAAACCACTGGGGGTTGAAAAATGAAGATGTTGAAACTTCTTTTGTATTTGCTCTTTTTCTGTAGTGTGCTGTAGCGGATAGAGGACCAACAAACGGGGAAGCCTACTTTCATAGACTTAACAGTTACGGTGTGGTATACGAGGAATGTGGCGGATTTCCCAAAACACATTGAAAACATACAGGGTAACTACTGATGTAGAATTTTATGTTATTTTATATAGTCAATAATATCTGTTTCCTAATGAGTTACTGGAATAGTTTTTTCACCAGCTCACCTAAGAACATGTAACAAATGTGGAAAAATAGGTTTCTCTTGCTGCTGCTAAGTATCATAATAACAGAAGCTGCAATTTGGCAGTCTGAGGGCTATATTTAGCCTGAAGATGTTTTTTTAAATCTCTCAAGTGTTTAAAAAAATGAGCCAATTTAATAATTTGGGGGGGGTGTTACATAAAAATTCAGATTTTTGGTTTCTTTTGAAAAATCATTAGATCTGGCAAAACTAGGCCTGGATTCCGACATGATGATGATCCTGGCTGTGAGTGGAGGCTGCCGGCTCCTGCTGAGACACGTGCTCTTCAACTGACACTTGTCTCCATGAGGCCCCAATGTCGAGTCTGCCTGCATTCCACAGTCCCCTCCCCTCAAACATTCATGAGTTTGGAGCTGATGGTTCATCAGAGCGCCCTCTCACTTAACTAATAATGCACAGGCTTCAAAGACTTTAGCAGTTCCTATACTAACAAGATAAAATCTGCCTTTATTTCTCTCTTACTGAGGCACATGCATATATATGCTGATTTTGATATAAGAAAAAAATGAAGATTGAATTTAATTTGGAAATAGCTGGAAATAGATGGATATGTTCAAATGAATCATAATCAAAATGAGAATTCTACATAAAAATAACATCTGAGAGCAGTAAATCGTACTTAAGGAGATATTTCAAGGTCAAGGTGAACAAATAGTAGTAGCTGATAAAACAAAAGTAAAAGACTATAAGGAATATAATATATTCTGTAATTTCTTTACACACTAACAATGAAATATCAGAAATATCAGAAAGAGAATGTAAAAAACCAGCCCTTTTAAAACCACATCAAAACAGTAAAACACAATACTTAGGAATAAACCCCACCAAGGAGGTGAAAGACTTATATACTGAGAACTATAAAACATTAATAAAGGAAATTGAAGATGATTCAAAGAAATAGAAATATATCCCATGCTCTTGGGTTGGAAGAATTAATATTGTTAAAAAGGCTATACTACCCAACGTAATCTACAGATTTAATGTGATCTCTATCAAATTACCTGTGAAAGTTTTCACAGAACCAGAACTGATAATCCCGAAATCTACTGGCCTTTCCCTGGTGGCTCAGACAGTAAAGAATCCACTTGCAATGTGGGAGACCTGGGTTCGCTCCCTAGGTTGGGAAGATCCCCTGGAGAAGGGAATAACTATCCACTCCCGTATTCTTATATACTGAGAAAAACAAAACATTAATAAAAGAAACTGAAGATGATTCAAAGAAATAGAAAGATATCCCATACTCTTGGATTGGAAGAATTAATATTGTTAAAATGGCAATACTACACAAAACAATCTACAGATTTAATATGATCCCTATCAAACTACCCATGACATTTTTCAAAGAATCAGAACAGATAATCCAAAAATTATCTATACAGAAACATAAAAAGCCCAGATTTGCCAAAGCAATCCTGAGGGAAAAGAACAAAGCAGGAGGCATAACTTTACCAGACTTTTAGACAATACTACAAAGCTATAGTAATCAAAACAGTGTGGTACTGGCACAAAAACAGATACATGGATCAATGGAAGAGAATAGAGAGCCCAGAAGTAAACCCACACACCTATGGTCAATAAATCTTGACAAAGAAGGCAAGAATATAAAATGGGAAAAAGACAACCCCTTTAGCAAGTAGTGCTGGGAAAGCTGAACGGCTGAATCCAAATTAAATTTGAACACACCCTCACACCATATACAAAAATAAACTCAAAATGGGTGAAAGACTTAAATAAGACATGATACTCCTAGAAGAGAATATAGGCAAACATTCTCCGACATAAATTGTACCAGTGTTTTCTTAGGTTAGTCTCCCAAGGTAACAGAAATAAAAGCAAAAATAAACAAATGGGACCTAATCAAACTTACAAGCTTTTGCACAGCAAACAAAATCATAAATAAAACAAAAAGACAACCTATAAACTGGGAGAAGACATTTGCAAATGACGTTAACAACAAGAGCTTCAGTTCAGTTCAGTCACTCAGTTGTGTCCAACTCTTCGCGACCCCATGGACCACAGCACACCAGGCCTCCCTGTCCATCACCAACTTCCGGAGTTTACCCAAACTCATGTCCATTGAGTCAGTGATGTCATCCATCCATCTCATCCTCTGTCATCCCCTTCTCCTCCTGCCCTCAATCTTTCCCAGCATCAGGGTCTTTTCAAATGAGTCAGCTCTTTGCATCAGGTGGCCAAAGTATTGGAGTTTCAGCTTCAACATCAGTCCTTCCAATGAACACCCAGGACTGATCTCCTTTAGGATGGACTGGTTGGATCTC